AACATGTTATATTTTCAATAAAATTTTGCATAAATTTAAAGATATGATACCATATGAATTATTATATGGTAAAAAACTAAACATTGATTATTTTAAAGTTTGGGATTACATTGCATATGTTTTAGATTTAATCATGAAAAGGTTTAAACTTGATAATAAAATTATAAAATTAATTTTTATTGATTATTTTTTATATAGTAAAACATATAAATTTCTTAATTTGAAAATTAATAGCGCTTTTGAAACTATTCATGCAATTGTCGCTTGTTTATTGGACTGGACTAGGCCCTCTTTTTCTTCGTTAGGTGGACTCGGATATTTCTTCGATAAGTGGGGTATATGTTCAATGTTGAGTACAATTTTTTTGTCCCACAAAGAGTACAGTTTTTCTGTCATGTAATAGGAAAAAGTGGGGCTAAGTTATCGTGACCTTTTCAAATTGGTATGACGCATTTTTTTGTAATTTTATTAATTTAGAGATTTTTTAAATAGTTAGTATGATATCTTAAAATGTTTATTTATAAATTTATTTTAATTTATTAAATAATAATAATTAATTACTTTTAGTAATTAAATTAAAATAAAAATTTTACTATTTAGAAATGATCTTAACAAATTAAATAATAGCTATAATTATAATTAAAAAATATTATACAATTTAAATTATATTAAATTACATAATCTTAACCATTAAATTGAATTAGGCTTTTGAATATTAAACACCATTCTTCATCTAGTAGTTCTTGTTTTAGCTAGGTACAATTATTCAGCAGCCTTTTTTTTTCGTAGACAATGAGGAAGTTCCACATTTCCCCTTTTCTAACTCATTTTTAAGTATAGTTAGGATATGTACTAGGCATTGTTATTGTCACACAAGAGAACATTAAGGCCAGATAAAAATATTGTATGTACTTAATTTAACTGTTAGAAGCTAATAGTTCATAATCATAATAGTTAGTTGATAATTATGCAATTCTTATATATTGTATTTATATAAAATCTTAACTATTCATCTCTTCACTTTAAATGATTGAAGTTTACTACGAATTTTTAGATAAAAATAATAATAATTTTTAACAAATATAAATAAATTTTAATTATTAAAAGTGGATAGATGAATAGTTAAGATTTTATATAAATGTAATATGTAAAATTTGTATGTAAATAAATCATTACTTATTGATAAAACATTAAATATTTATTACTCAACAATTTAAAATTAACTTATACGCTAATGTGTCTAAACATTTTAATGAATTATAGACTTATAAAATCATTTAAGCCAAACAAATTTAATGTTTTTGTGTGGTTTTAACATTTTTATGTGATAATAACTATAACCTATTATAGAACAAAAAGTGTTATACAATTCAAATTATATAAAATTATATAATTAAAACTATTGGTTGGCAACTCCTCGCATTGAGGGCTATGCCTTCATCTAATTATTTCAATATGTAAAACATGAAACTTCTTGTATAAATAGATAAGAGAATATGCTTTTATTCAACTGAGAGAGGAAATTGCCCCTCTGGATTAAAATTTACAAAAT